AAGACTCCTAAGATCAAATTTCGCGCGGAGGAAAGATAATGGATGATGGAGGCATGTCTGGGTAACTCAGAGTTTTTGAGACGTTCCCCTGGGTGGGTATTCACGGATGAGGGTTGACTTGGGGTGAAGAAAAAGCCGCCATAACTTCGCAGTGGTACTTGCAAATGAAATCCGAGGCATGAGTGCTCTTCCTGTACGTTGAATCATCTATTCTGTACTTTTCTTTGATATTGTGTCATAGCTAGATAGCTGCATACGCAATTAAAATCTGATGCAAAAAAAAAGTACGAAGGCTCACTGTGTTGCATGAGTGGCCGCAATTCATTGTTATAGTCGTGAATGACATACAGAATATGAACATTCTTTGTATAATCATTGAATAAGCATATGGAGCTCTGATTTTGTGTGATAACAATATATTTGAGTACACAGTAAGTGGTTTATTCGTCAACCTCACAGTTGATCGCTATTGATGGATGTGTTATGTAGAAATGGGTTGGATGGTGCAGTGGTACACCATCCGGGCCGTCCTCCCAAGTAGATACTGGGTAGCTTGAACACCTACCCCATGCGAGACAGGAGAATGATGGCTCGGATCCAGTAACACCCACACACCACATACTCTCGCGGTGACATCACGCTTGTGGGATGATGAAAGAACACTCGGGTAGCCACTGGTTTGATAAGCTTTTACCTGTGTTGGATATGCACGGAAGAGGTTATACACCATAAGGGTTAACCTTGAGTGGTTTCTTCAAACGAAATATGAGTGTGATTGTTCTAAATGTCAAATTGAGTCATCCTACTTAAAGCACATATTTTCCGAAAAAACCTGCATGGGCCTCAAGGTGCCAAATCAGGTAAAAAGAACTATATACATGTATATTGTGTAGAAATGTCGGGTCGGAATGCCAACTTTATCGGAATTTTTTGGAGACGTCTAGCTATTTTTGAAAACGGGGGAACTCTGTAGTATGTCGGTATTCAAGGCATAGTGGGGCTAGAGTGTTGAAGACTTCTTCGAACTGGAGCACGACACGAGCCTAACTCCTAATGATGAGAGTTTTGGAACTCTTCACCTCCACGAAGCATGTGAGTGAGGCTTACTCATGCTTGAGACGTTGGTAGTAGTGTTCAGCACAGTCTCCGTTCACGGACCGGATTGTGATCCAAGCACCTCCCGTTTGCGTCAGCTCAGTTTTGTATATTCGAGAGGTTTGGGGAGTTTGGGTCTATGCTAAGCCTCCTATATCCCACAAGGACTACTTGTTTGAACAAAAGAGAGCAGAGTCTCTACCTGACGGAACAAACTTCCTCTCTGCTTTTTAAATAAGCCATGGAGGGTTTGGCAGGGTAGAGGCGCAGGCTGACTGAGTACGGGCATTTGTGAAAGGACGAAGGTCACCGTCGCTGCACGAAAGCAATGCCACAAAATTATTTATATTTTTTTATGAAGAATACTTCAGTGGGACTGAGCCAATTTACTGTGTGTACTGATGACCATCTTACATAAGCACTTACTAAACGTCTAAACTGGTGTAATAGCCAGACCCATTTGCCACATCCCACTTACATGTAAAGCTGGGCCCGCAAGTCAGCCCAGCCAACTAACACCGGGTCAACCCCGTAAAAGCACCAGCCGCTTAGTGTCGAGAAATTCTAGAATTTCCTAAGCGCCATTGACTATTGATTGATCATTTTATTTTGCCGGTTTTTGAAGTCTTATTTAGAGCTACCGCAAGCTCGCAAAATCTTACTCTGCGGCTGGTACTGATCGTCTTGAGGGGTATAGAGCATAGCGGTAAGGCTGCATCCTAATTGTCGTGACACGCTATCACAACGAGAATTGAATAATTTGCCGACTAGCAAAAGGTACCGGTGGTGCCTTCGGCGACCTCAATAAGTTCCACATCATTGACTTCCACAGACAGGATGAGAGAGGTTTTGTCACGAGCGGCCTTGATCATTATGCTGCGCCGTATGGAGTATCTGATCTCAGCTTGATCCTTGAATAAAGCGTGTTGGGAAAAGAGAGAATTCGTATGTGGGTTGAATAGTTGACTAGAGTGAGGAGAAAATAACTCCAGCTTCTCAATCAATTACTGAGTTTTTTCCCTAGTTGTATTGGTTGGTTGGTCTCTGAGAAGGCAAGGGCATTTCACACCAAAGGTTTGCGGATACGGCATATGCAGAAAGTGCCGCATCGTTCAGGGAGTATCGAAGAGATTACAAGGAATGGAGCAATCAGGTGCTCGGACGAGTATTGGTCGGGGCTGAGGCGAGATGTGCACCACGCAGTCATCACAACGGTTTCCTTGAACGGTCATACTGGGCATGATTCTCCAACTCCACGAAATACAGAGTAGTCTTGACACTCGCATAAGAAGATAGACTTCATCTAAAATTTGCTTTTTATCCCGATTCAGCATGGTCCTATTCGCTTCAGGATCCTCGGGAGGCCGGCTTTTATGCAGCACGTGTGAAGTGGAAAAAAATGGGTTACATTTGCTGATATTACTGCCTATTTGTGTCTGCAAGCATTTACGCTCGTTCCTCTATTTTGTGATTCTGGGAAAGTAACTGTTCATTTGTTTCTTGGTTCCTCCGTCCTTGTTGCGGTTTTATCATAATGGAGCCGCTTGAATATGAGGGAATCTACCGTGTGTAGACCGAGAGGTCGGGTGCCCAAAATAGGTCGATAATAGCATATATAGAATTTAAGCGCAACAACAGTTCGATCCTCTAGAACTATCTTACCAGAGCGGCAATGCTATATCTAGAGTGGTTCTTTTGGAGGTTCTTTGTTACGTAGAAATATATCAATGATCTTTCAAGTAACAAAAGAGGCACGGAGCAATGTACAAGGTGTGGCCTGGGCCAGATAGGAGCTCAATGTGCTAGATGGTCTAAGGCCCAAGTAGAACAATAAACACACCTCTCTCGTTTGAAAATTTTTAAAGCATATTCTTCAAATGCAAACCGCCAGGTGTTTACTGGGTCTATGAGATATAGTCACGTGAATATTCAAGAAGTGACCCAACTCGCGGTATCGATTAGCCTATATTCCAATATTCTTTACAGATCTCCTAACCCTAAAGTTGAGGCCCCAAATGCTTCTGCGATAACACAGAAAATTATCATCTTTTTCCATCAAAAATTTCTGATGTCCCGCAAATTGCTCGAATTCACGCTGGCTCAGAAATCTTACATAGCTTCTTCACTTCATCCGTTCTTAGATCTAAATTAGCCTAAAGGCTCAGACGGGTTGAAATTTTTCAGCTGCAAGATATGTCAAGAGAGAATCTTCGTCTCATAAGCAATCTTATTCCATTTGATTGTTAAATTATGACTTTGCTTCAGCAAAAACCTCATCAGGCAACGTTGAGCCTTGCTAGGTAAGTTCTCTGCGGATCATTGAGCTATCGTTTATTACTTGCGGCCAAATACTTGTCTCTATGTGCAAGGTAATTATCAAGGCTTTATGTCTTTGATAATTCAAGAGGTTCAAAATTACATGCCATCAATCTTAGGGGCAGCAAAGCGATATCAAAGCGTCATGCGTGAAGAGACGAATCATAACAGAAAAGTCTCTTGAAATAACAATTACATCATTGAAGTATCGTTCTTGTCTAAACGAGTGTCTCCGTTGAGGATAAATAGATCACCAATTCTCTCGATTATTCGGCTAAACTTAATGTAAAGGAGAGCTCGCTGAAGAAGTTTCTACAAGAAGACTGGATATGATGTAAAGAGCTAAGCAGCTGTGCAATTTTCATGAGCCGAATCTTCTATGCAATCTGCTTAACCAACTAACATTTTCCACTTTATTACCATAATTCGTGACCCACATCTCGTGGCCTAAGACGAATGTAGCTCTCATAGATATGGCTCGCTAAATGCCTGATCATCAGTCAACGAAATCATCACCCAAGTAACAATGTGACACTGGATCACTTGTCCGTGTCACATATCTGTGCGGCGCCATTAGCCCGGATACAACATTGTCTATCTTCGATTCTTCGCTAGGCGCTCAGCTAGGCCCAAAGTCTCCTCTTTCTAGGGGCGCATACTATCGGAAATTACTGTCGCAAGCTGGCTCGAGGCCTACCATTTACGGCAGAACTACATTGCGCTCAGAGCGATGAAATGCCCCCAAAATAGCCTGCAACCTTAAATGCAAAAGTGATGTCGTATAGACATCCTAGAAATTCTCAAATCCTCATACAAAGGACTTGGCTGTCCGGTAGACTTTTAAGATAAGAACAAGGTCTAGATTTACGAGGAATAAATGCAGATTGGTAACAATTCTTCTCCATTCACATTAGAAAACTACTTCCTTCGAAAAGCCCTCGTTTTTCTTTGTCGAATTTACTGTGAGTGCTATTTCTGCCGAAGAATAATATGGAAGACTGGCCGCCACGCTAGGCCCGGGCCTTTAATTTTGCCAGTGGGACATAAATCGATGGTAGATCAGTATGCGATCTACATAGTATCGTGCTGTACGCTGGTCAGTGCTACTGTAAAACTTCTGCTTTAACACTGCCACAAAAATATTCTCAAAGCTGTAGCTGATTGTCCCAAAATTCCGGGAAAAGTTCAAAATCTTGTGTCCACAGGGAGCGTGCAGAAGACTAATTAATCATAGATTAGTCTGATCAAAGACGAATATTCCACACATTCTCACCTGAGCGAAGATCTGGTGACAGCAGTTGTAGTATAGTTGTATTCAAAATTACTTTAGTCCCTTCTGTTTAGGTAGTCGTCACTGGGTCACATGCCAAACAAATCCATACCAGGAGAACCCCCTCATTGCCACTAGAAACGGCTTGAGAGAAATTATGCAAACCTACTCAATATCGTGGCCCTAGATTATCACGAGGATACCATGGTCCTTATCAAAATAATTCTTTCAATATAATGACAGCCTCGTTTACAATGAAAAAATTGACAGAAAGTACGCCTAAGACAATTTCAGAATCAATATTACACTCCATTCAGTCATGGAGCTGGTACATCATGAAGAATATCAAAACGGATTAAAAAAAATGGACAATACTGGCTCTACGCTTCTCCCTTCTTCTTTAGCAAGTGCAGTTAGTTTTCTGACCCGTTCGAGCTCACTTTATCTTCGACTGGGCTCATTTTTTGGAGGAATCATACTGAATGGGGCACGTACGACTACTCTTACAGGTCTTGAATTGACCAGGTCTATTATGGAAGACATAATCATTCGATCAGGACAGGATGTCGTTGAACGTAGCAATGGTTTAATGGGTAAAGTCGAGGCAGAACAACTTATGAAAAAGAGCTTAACTACCTTGCACTCCAGTATAACTAATATATCCTTTGCGACTTCAGCTGGGTTTTACTTATCAAATTCAATTTTGAACTCCACCTGCCGGGTATGCCAATTATTCTTGAATGGGCTGGATAGCTTACTTGGCAGTACCGATTCGAGTCGAGCAATCGCTGGTATTGTCTCGCTGATTAGAAGAGAATTTCAAAATCCAGCCACCGGGCGGGAAGGAGAAAAGGTTAGTGTTACGGATCTTGTAGTTGGAATTAGTGGGCTCGCATTGCTGCAACAATGGTGCCGAAATATTACAGACTTTGAGAATGATGACGCAGTCGTGATTTGGGATGTAGTTGTCTTGAATGATAAAAAAACCCCGAATTATCCCTGGGATAAAGAGATGGACTCAGATAAATCTAGCTCCATGATGTTACCATCAAATACTACGGAAAACGAAAAATTACTATCTAGCCATAAAAAGAGTTGCGCTGCGGGAGTTGAAGACGAACAAGTTCTCGAAACTACACTTCATCCCAAAACTAAAGGTTTGCATTCAACCAAATCCTTATTGTTTTCTAGATAAACTAAGCTAAAATCACAGTCTCAGCTAAATTATCGATTAGAGATACCTCATCAGCACTGGTCAATTTGAGGGCCAGTGGTGACACGGTAGATTCCAGGCAGACCTTTCCAACAGCCTCTAGATCCAGGCCGTCATATATACGTAGAAAGAGCTTAGATAAGCCAGGGGCATTTGTTTCTCGAACCTCTGAGACCGAAAATCGACATTGCTATACCACGACAAATATCAAATATAAGCATCGAGACCAGTTTGGACCACCAACATCATCAGGAAGCCTTGAAATCTCCCCATCAAAAGAAATCATAGATCAAGGACATGAACTAGAACTAACTCTTCATTCTACCAACGATGAAGAATCATCCCTCAATAGTTTTAGAAACACATCAAATTTGAAGAGAAAGCCAAAATTATCTTGGGGACCTGTATGCTCGAATTTTTCCAAATACACACCTTCTTCTAACCCCGTTTTAAACATCTCTGACAACGTGAGTCGAGGATCTTATCGGAGAAAGATTGGACACCTTCAGTATTTAGACATAAATCACTTAAAACCTACTGGAATTCATTCAAATTACGACTACTACCGTGTACCCAAAGACTATCATAACTTTATAAAATCTCAGGCTAATAATGATCTTGGTACATCAGCTGGTTTTCTGACACACACAAAAGTGCAAAGGTTGATTCGTGCCAGGTCGGAAAAACAAATTGCTACGGCAACACCGCAATATTTGAACGGAAGAAGTCATAAACGTTCCAAAAGCCATAATCCTAGTACACACCCCAGGAAAGACAGTAGTGCAACTTCCCAGCTGCTAATCCGACCTCGCAGCGTATTCAGTAATCTGGAAATAATATCGAAGACGGGCCTCACGAATGGTATATTCCCGAACCATCATATCGTGAGAAATATAACTAGATATATGCGTTTTGCTTCTGCCTCATATGGGTCTAAATTTCTTCGAATAATGGGAATTACTACTGGTAGCACTGATAGGGATGTTGATTCTTCGCATCACCATGAACACCATTCCTTTTCATATCACACTCAACTGCCACCTTCCACGATTTTACTTTCTTCATTTGTCGATCCTCAAGGTGGGACAGACTCGAGTGGTAACACTAACACTGGAGTACCTATGGTTCATTTCGTCTCTCTAGATCATGCCTCTAAAGCCGTAGTCCTGACATGTCGTGGAACCCTAGGATTTGAAGATGTTCTGACGGACATGACCTGTGACTTTGATGAAATTACGTATCGTGGCAAGGCTTACATTGTGCATAAGGGAATTCATGCGTCAGCTCATCGACTCCTACATGGTGGAGGTGGTAGAGTAATGGTTACCATCGCCGCTGCCTTGGAAAAATACCCAGAGTACGGTCTAGTAATGTGTGGACATTCCTTAGGTGGAGGAGTGTCAGCTTTGTTGGCCATTATGATTTCAGAACCAGATTCCGATTCAGCAGCTTTCTTTACTGCAAACCTCCAACCTTTGGCGATGAAAAAATCCGACGGTATGCCCATTCAACTCCCAACGGGTCGGTATATCCATGTCTATGCCTATGGACCTCCGGCTACCATGTCGCCCTCGTTGCGAAAAGCTACTCGTGGCCTCATTACGACGATTATAAATGACCATGATATTGTCCCGTTTCTTTCACTGGGTATGTTGCACGACATGCAGACTGTGGCTTTAGTATTTAAAACCGATGATTCGGGTGCCAAGGGAGAGGTAACAAGGCGACTATGGCATGAAATTATTGCAAAATTTTGGGACAAATGGTATAATCGTCATGGATCGGTAGATGAAGATGATAAATGGGCTTATTCAACACTTAAAGCGCTAAGGGCATGTATGTTGAGCACCAAACTTGTTCCGCCTGGAGAGGTATTATTAGTCCAGACGATACCGGATATTTACCGGAGAGGAGTGACTAAAGAGCAAATGAGACGACCAACTACGCGCGTTGTCGTTAGATATGTCAAAAATGTTGAGAGACAGTTTGGAGAGTTAAGATTTAGGAAGAGCATGTTGCTGGATCACAGTCCTGGACGATACGAAGCATGCTTAAGCTCTTTGGGTACTGGGGTTTTGGAAGGGTCAGTCGACGATGCCTGTGATGATTCAAGATCAGTGTAAATATTGTTCGAGCTCTGCATTGTAATTCTAAACCTAATAGAAGATTATGATATGGTCTTATGCACAGATTATTTGAATAAGTCCTGACGCCTTGATAAATATCGAGGAATCAGGGTTATTAATGGCAGAAATCCTTGAGGGAGTACTAGGTTTACAAACTATGAAGTTGGAATTTTTGAAAACCCGTCATAGTGTTTACGTTTGATAACTGATACAGAGTGGTCGGTTGATTCTGCAACATTTTAAATAAAGAAGTAATGATGGCCCCAGATATTTTCCTTTCTTGAATAAATTAATGTGTTTTAGCTATCTAGCATTGCCACGTAACTAGTATTTTCTGTACACGTTACACAACTCTTTGAACTTCAGAGACACCGATACTCTAGATTTTATTTGGAGATACCCCTATGACGTATGTTTGTTAATAGAGAACGTTCAATTCTCGTTCGAAGGTGCTCATCATATCAAAGATTTTGAACTTTTGGTTGTCGAAGCATCCTGTTTACGAAGGCCACGAGTAATAAGGCTGAGTCTTGCTAGACTTGAACAACGATCTTTTCTATCATGTAGAATTGGTCTCAAAGCTGTCCAGACTCTACTAGGCGAACTGGCCTGGACGAAAATGCAACGTACCATCCAACCAATTCTTTTTTTGAAGAGTGTTATCTACGCCCTCGCAAACCAATATGTAGAGAAAGCGAGGCTTTTCAATGTAAATACTTCGGACTAAAGATCGACTTTTTACACTTTAAGAGGTTGTATCTATTCTACGTATTATCTTACTTATCTAGATATTTCTCACGTCCATGGTGAAAATCTGCCTGGCTACATTTTTGCGCCACGATTTTTATTTTTCTGTAAATATCCATGAAGTAATGAGCATAAAGTTGGAAATCAGCTTAGGCTAGATACCGAGTCGCCCACAGGCATGGTCATGGCAACGTGGATGTAATAGGCTATACTTGTAGTCCTAGTAATGCTTCGGTCGGTATAAATTTTGCTGTAAGTCGAAGATTGATACAGTGGGGAGCCTTGAATCACTGCCCCCATAAACAAAATTTTCGGTGTTGCACAATTTAATAGAAGCTATCACTGGAAACCCATTTCAATGCTGATAAGTGCTCAGTCTTCGTCATTTCCAGTGGGAGTAGCAGGTCAGGCGGAACGAGAGAATGTGTCCATGCCGGGTAACTTGCCACAAGTGTAACGAGCTTCTATTACAGGGGTAATGTTGGGGATTCTTGTATCCTTGTTACAGTGATGATGGGATAGTCACGCACAGAGATGCTGAACATGTGACATTAAAATCACGCATGAAGATTGTTGGGAATGACACCGCGTCGTACCTGTGCACCTAGCCTCGATGCATCTCTCACGTCTCTGATCGAGGCGACATTGAAATAGGTAAACAGTTAGTAATTTGGTCTAATCGACCTCTTCCACAATTTGTTCTCCAAAAAATGATTGAAGCGCTCTCTCTCGGTACTCAGTGGTCGCCGAAACATACCAACTATTTTCCGCTCGAACTGAGCACTGGGCACATCACGTACCCAATACAGCATTTGAGATTTTCTAAAAGCAAACTGCGCCAGAGCAATTCAAAAATCCAACGAGAAAGATCGGAACGAGAAGGAAGGGAAGAGACGCTTAATCAGGAGAGAGGTTGATGAGCACACAAAGCGCATATAAAGATCAGCCTACCAGATCACGATATGTTTCGTTCAAAATTTATACACTACTTTTAAACTCAAAATTAATCGTGGCTGAATCTTGTCATCGGTAGAGGCACCAACCGCATTTGACCTGGCGCCGGCTGAGATGAATTCTTTACCTTTCAGTGGTGCCGATGTAATCGCTCCGTATGTTCCGTATGCTCTGCATATCTGGGATAGCCAAAAGAATCGCATCCGACTCGAAATCAAAAGCACAGACGAACGTATCAATATTCGAAGACTTCTCATCAATGTCGGTCTTGCCATTCTCTTGAGTTCTCAACTTTTATCCAACAAATAATCTTACCTCAACGACCGATAAAGAATATACTCCAATTACAAACGGGAGCCAACCATATTAATAACAAACCATCTCCCAATTTCAAATTTAAGATGCTTTGTATACTTGCAAGGAGGAAATTCAGCCATAATTTACAAAGACCGGGGCCTGGCTTATGCAGGACTGTTGCTCTGATGGGTCTTTACAACTTGAGGGAGAATAGGCAGCTGAGATGTGAAATGATAGAGGAATATGATCTTTCATGGGTATGCTAGGACTTACGCTCCTCGCTGGGGTTTCGACTTTGAAATGTTTGTGGGCGACTAGACTGAGATTTCGGCGAATTAGCCAGGAGGTCTTCTATTGTAGATAAGTCTACGGTTCTCCCCAGCTCTATAGACAACACAAAAAATTTGGGCAAAGCTACAATAAAGCAATCACGCACTGTCAAGAATTTTCCGACATTTCAGAGCGATCTTGTGGAAAGAGATGGAAGGAGGCTAGAGAGACAAAGTGTGAATTTCTTCTAGTACCTACAAGTGTGCAACGCCTAGCTGGCCGGCCTCTTCGAACGCTTCAGAAGGATCACTATGTCTTCGGATTTAGTTCTAGTATTGGTACTAGGAGAGCTCTGTACTATGTGGTTTTTGAGGCTTTTCCTTACGTCCATAAACCCTAATATGGTAATCTTTTCACTGGCTAGAGACGTGCGACAATAAAGAATAATGGGTCGTACAGGTACATACTCAAATGAAGAACCGTGTAGGCACTACCGCTAGAAAGAAGCCATAAATAAGGCATAAAATAGGGTATATTACCGGACACTTAGAAACTCCTGGCCTGTAAGTATAAAGGAACTACATTTTTTTGTACATTTTTTTGTACATTTGTAGACTCATTAGGATAGATATAACCACAAGTATACAGCACTTAGGGCCAAAAAAGGAAACAGATAAGTAATAAATTAGATATTACCGATCGCTACATTAACCAGTAGGACACTTCTACAGGCGAATAGTTACATTGCAACCTGCAAGTGTGATAGACTAACTTTCAGCGGAATACATCTGTGACTCTACATACAATTATGTACGACAAGTAAGATAATAATTCAATCTCTACCCAATTGTTTCCATATTACCAAAAAGTACTTAGGCCCATGGGTAGCATCATCGATTCAATTAAAGATACCAAATATACAACGAAATTTATCTCACCACCCTTTATAATATTCAATAAATTGGCAAAGTTTGAGGCGTTGAGGTAAGAGCTTGCGAAGGACATTTGGCTTCACATTTTGGGATAAAGAATGTTAAATCAATGTGAACAGTCGATATGTCGATATTCAAAACTATACAGATCTTAGAGGTAGAAAAGGCATTTTGTATACACATGTGAGCGTACTTTACTAACAGATTTTTCCTAGAGAACTAATCCAGGAAATTAAAGTATCATCCATCTGGTAGTATGGTCTAGAAATACTCTTCATGCAGTGCTCAGGCATCCGACAAGTCATCATTGAATCGCCAACAAAGTTCTACCTTCTCATCCAGAAGTCAGTAATCTCACGCATTATAATCTCGGTCATCACCAGCACAATATGAGATAGTCCGGCCATTTAAGTGGGATGAACTTAATATATTTCATGGCAGATTCCCTGAATTAGCCCAGTCCTACCCGTACTCCAACTCTTTAGGAACACGGAGAATCCCACTTGCCTAGCATATTCATAAACACATATAATTTAGCTACGCCGATTCAGGTTGTCTGATAATGCTGTATCACGTCGCCCGCCAAGTAAAAGGCCGTTGGAGTCAGAAAGAGCCGTCTAGGGCGCCATTATTATTTGTTTGGCCGTTTAGAGAGGTTACTTTGAGCTCATCACTAGGCTGATTGGGTCAAGTTCAAAGTAGATAGTTATCCTGGACAATATTTTAGAAATCCATCAACAATAATGTAATCATAGCACTCTCAAGCGCCCATATTTTAGCGTATTCATTACTGTGAGTATTTTAACTTAGCCTTCGTGGACTAGGTAAGGCGGCGCTAGCTCATTTATCTCTCCAACACCTCAAATCTGCTCCTGTGGACGGCTTGGTGTTGAGCTAGCCTTCCGCAGATAGGCAGATGAAACTCGACTCGATTTCCCGTCATTGAAAACTGAGCGCCTCGGGCAACCAGAGTAGCAACCTCTGAAGTCTTTTGATTTGCATTCAAACACGCCGCTGTGACATATGGTCCTCTCAAAAGTGTCGCCTAAACCCTTGAAAATGAAGTCGTGATGCTGTCTCCGACAAGAGGAGGATGAGAAGCTTCGCTAGCTTATTTGCATACATCCAGGTGCATGGCAGCATAGAAGGGAAATAAAATTGGAAATGATACAGTATTGATTGATAACTGTAAGAACGGAGTTTCTGGATCAGGAATTATAAGTAATTTGTGTCATAGCTCGACATCTGAAAACACTGTGAGTAAAATAGACTTATAAAAAGAGGACGTGTAGTGTTTGGATTAGATCCTGTCAAGCGACGTCTAACCTAATGTTACAGGATTAATCCCTTGGGTTGAGACTAATGCGCAAGTACAGCAAGGATGGAATCTGGAGGCTGGCTAGCTACAGGGTCTGACAATGTTGTAGTCTAGAGAATGTGTTTATTTATTGAGCGAATATTTTTAATGCATATTGTATTCAACCACTTAGCTGTGACATTAAAAGCTTATTGAGCTTCTCGAGTCAATGACTATCTAACATATTGGGCTCCTCTCCGGCCTAGGCCACACCTTGTACAGTGCTCCGTGCCTCTTTCATTACCTAAAAGATCATTGATATATTGCCCGCATCTAAAAAATAAACATCATTTTTGCCAGAAAGCTGCGCAGCGTTCCACGCTACCCGTATCATCAATTTGACATCGTGATCATTATTTTTACATCTTCATTACCCTCTTCTCATCTTTTAGCTTTCCGTGCTCCAACATGGCGAGTGTGGGTAAATCCGGCGGTTTCGA